GAATGGCTTTGACTCAAAAGAGAATGTATAGTTTGTGTGATGTTGATGACAGACTGCCCTGAACTGTCTCCAAGGAGAAGGATTTGGGGGCTGAAGAGAGGACAGCTGCTAGAACCTGACCCAGGGAGAGGTAGATTCTCAAGTCTAGGGGTACAGAGAGCTGCAGAGTCGAGGGCTATTGCCCATCCCTATAAAATCCTCCAAGGGGCACCTGTGAGGGCTGCAGATTGAGCACCCAGCCTAGAAAGCAGGGTGCAAGCTCCTTCAAAGCATAGCATCCTGGGGAAGAATGGGATGAGGAATGCTTTCCTGGCTGGTAAGTTCAGAGTCAGATTTTAATCTACTTTTAAAAAACAAAGGTGACATCATTTTTTTTTAATTCAGACACACAGAGAGAGGTAGAGACATAGGCAGAGGGAGAAGCAGGCTCCCTGCGGAGAGCCCAGTGTGGGACTCGATCCCAGGACTCCGGGAACACCGCCTGAGCCAAAGGCAGATGCTCAATTACTGAGCTACCCAGGCATCCCAAGGTGATATCTCTTGTACCTTCCTGGCATGGAGCAAATTCCTACTGTCTCCATAGGGTGTTGGCTGGAACCCCAAAGAGCTAAAGGTGGTGTCCTGAGGAACTCTGTTTATGGAGCTTGTGGGAGACAGAAGAAGGAGCAGCCAAAGGCCAGAAGGAAGAGCTTAATGCCACAGAAGCTATGGCAATTTCACAAAGTAGGGAGTATTCAACAGTTAAGTGCTGCAGGGAGTTCCAGTTGGATGAGTGCCATTGGATTGGCAACTTGGTGGCTCACTGACATGATGGGGCAGGATCCAGACGGCTATGACTTGAGGAGTCCCCTCATAGTCCCTCACAGCCCTGAACCATCAGCTCCATTGGCTGAGCAGCCAAGTGCTACCGGGGCAGGGCCAGGGCCAGGTACCCATCCTGGTCCTGTCAGTGGCAAGAGAGAGCAGAGTAAGCTCAACCCAGTGGAGCTCCATGACTTGGAGAAACCACGAGTAGGAGATGTCCACCTGCCCCAGGTGGTAGTGTCACTTTCATGGAAGATCACCCCACTGCTATAAAACTAGGAGGAAGGTGGGCACCTGGGTGGCTCAATCACTTAGGCATTTGCCTTCAGCTCAGCTCGTGATCCCTTGTGTTCCAGGATGGAGCCCCACGTTGGAGTCCCTGCTCAGTGGAGAGTCTGTTTCTCCCCAACCCCCCCCCCCCCGCCCTTCTCCTGTGCTCTCTCTCTTTCTCAAGCAAATAAATACTTTTTAAAAAAATATTTTATTTATTTATTGTCATGACAGACACACACGGAGAGAGGCAGAGACACAGGCAGAGGGAGAAGTAGGCTCCATGCAGGGAGCCTGACATGGGACTCAATCCTGGGTCTCCAGAATCACACCCAGGGCTGAAGGCGGTGCTAAACCATTGGGCCACCGAGGCTGCCCATAAATAAATAAATTCTTAAAACACACACACACGCACACACAACTAAGAGGATTATTACAGAGAAACACAAATTTCCTAAGAAACCTGAACCCTTTGAAGATTTATTGAAATTCCCCTCTCCTGTCTCATTTGTTTGCTGAAGCAGTGGAGATAGAGGTGAAGGATCTGGCCCTTTTGCTGCAAATTCAACATTTGTTTAGAGGTCTCAATAGGCCACTCACTTTGTCCTGCGTGTTTACAGATATCCTCCCATTTAATCCTGCAACAGCATGTGGGAGAGATACACCCACGTTGCATGAGGAAACAGGGAGGTTGGCTTGCCCAAGATCACATAACGAAGTAAGTGGTGTAGCTGGAATTTGTGCCTCCAGGTACCTCGATTCCAACTTTGCTGCTCTCTCCACTAAAACATAGTGTAATTAGGAGGAATTCAAAGTAGATTCCTAGCTCCCTCCTTGTATGAAAAGTGAAGATCTTATCATGGGACGCAGGCCTTGGGCAGAGGAATTATCCTGTTATGTCCACACCCTACATCCCACCGGCAGGAAATGAGCCATGCGGGACCACAAGCCAGGCCGTGCCCTCCTCGTTGCCAAGGACTCATCTGAGAAAATCTCTGCCTGGATGATCCGGGCTGCTTATCTCCAGAGCACGGTCCTCCAGGTTCTGAGTGGACCCATTGTTAGGCCAGCGTGAGCTTGCTGCCCGGGTTGGGCAGCAGAATTCCAAGGAACAGGAAGCCTGGGTCAGTGCGGAGGAGGTAGAGAATGAGTGGCATGAGCCTCCCAGAGCCACCCACCCACACTGAGGAGACACGGAGGTATCCCGGGGTGACAGCCTGTTATGGCAGAGGAGAGCCTCCCAGAAACCATCCACTTGGGACGTGGGTGCAAGAGGAGTCAGGGGACCTCCTCCCATTCATAATGCATTTGTCTCAGGTTCTGGAAACTGCATGAGCTAAGCCTGCCCAGTCATGTGACACTCGGAGAGGTGTGCCCAGCCTTCTCCGTGAAGCCCTCCCGCCCTGCCCCTCCCGCGGCAGAGGCCTGGTGGAGAATGGAAAGATACAGAGAGGCAAGTGGCAGATCCCATGAGGTCACAGCTAGGAGCAACCTACCTGACTTGGGAAAGCAGCTTTTAAAATCAGACAGCCTGGATTCAAAGGCCAGCGCACCCACTTAGCTGCTGTGTAGTTCCGGCAAGCTTATTTCGCTTCCCTTGGCCTTTGCATCCTCATCCATTAAATAAGGATAATAGTGCCTACTCCGTGCTTTCAGGAGATAAGACACAGCGGGTGGTTAGCACATCATCTGGCACATAGCACGCATTCAGCAAATGCTAGCTAGCTCTTATCATCATTATCCTCATCATTATTATTACAGGGAGCTCTCCACGTGCAGCTCCCAATGTCCCCCCAAGTGCATCAGGACATTGGCTAAGCAATTATGAGAAACAATAGCCCTTGGGAATCTAACCAAACTCCAGAGGCAGCTGGATGGGCAGCGAGGCTGTAACTGGCTCTGTCTCCAGAAAACTATCATCTGCCCCACTCCCAACACACTCACGTGGCCCTCCCCTCCTTCCCCAGGGTAAATTCAGCAGTCAATGGAGTTGAAAAAGCCAGAGAGTCTGAGTGGTACCTGAAGATGCCTGGGATCCAGGGACAAGAGGACAATGTTACCAGCAACTCTCCCTTCACGCCCCCCACCCCCAACAAGTCCCAACCAACACATACACACACCTTCCTGGAAATTCTGGACCAATTTGGGAAGTCCCATCACCCCCTTCCATGATTCTTATGCCCTCTATAAATGTCCTGGGTTTAAGGAATGTGTTTTCCTTTTCCTACTGAGATACTGCCTTTTCTCTACCTTCTCTCTCCTACAACATGAACACCCCTACATCCCTGCAAGTCACTTCTGCCCTAGGAAACCAGAAAGAGAGAGAGAGAAGGGTCCGGTTTCTAGGGAGAAAGGAACAGAAATGGCCCCAACTCTCGGCCACAAGGCCCAGCTTCTGAACTATGACCCGCTTCCTCTGGTGGGCGCAGATAGCTGGCTGTCCTCCGATGTGAGCGCCTGCTCTTGCATGGGAGCTGACCAAGGACTGCATTTCCCTGTCCCATTTCATCTAGGTGGTGCCTAGATGTTGACACCTGTCACATGGGAGTGGAAACGACAATATCACTTGTAGGTCACAGCATATAAAAATTAGATGTGTGCCCTTTGTGTTTTTTTCTCCCCTCCTTCCTGTGACAAGAAGATGACAAAATCACATGGTAGAAAGAATCTGAGTCCCTAAAAAATAATGTGGAAGGAAGCCTCCTCACTGGATGTTTAGATGGATGAGAAATAAGCTTTGGGTCAAGCCACCGAGGTTGTGGAAAACTGTGGGATATTATTAGGGTAGCTGTGCTATCTCTCCTGCTAGTACACTAAGCCTGGCACCTGCCCCTCCCCCATACCTTTTTGTTGGGATGGAGCCAGAAGAGAATTGAAGGAGGGACTTCCCCTCATACTGACATGAGAGAGTAATGAAAACAAATCTGAGGTGTCCAAAGGCCAGGCTCATGGGCACAGGCCTGGAAAATTCTGTGTTCATGGTCAGGGGCAGGAGTGTGTACAGTGCAGCACTAGCCATTCATCAGTGGGATCATAATGATGGCAGTTAATATATTAAATGCACCAAAAGTAAGTGTGGAGCAAGAAGGGATAGACCTGGGGATCCCTGGGTGGCTTAGTGGTTTAGTGCCTGCCTTGGGCCCAGGGCATGATCCTGGAGTCCCAGGATCGAGTCCCACATCGGGCTTCTGCACGGAGTCTGCTTCTCCCTCTGCCTGTGTCTCTGCCCCCCCCCCTCTAATGAATAAATAAATAAAAATCTTAAAAAAAAGAAGGATATATCTTTCAGAAGTCAATGGGACCACCTATCTAAGTTTCTTGGAAATGCTTGAGTAAGCTTTCGGGCTTTCTTATAATCATACTTCTTGCCGAGTTTGACAAAGGTGGAGGTAGAGAAAGAGGAAGAAGGAAAAGAAGAACAAGCACTGGAGTGCCCTTCACCCACCTCTGTCTGTTTTTTTGTGAAGGTTTACTTACTTTTTAAAGATTCCTTTCAAGCCTCACCTCCTCTGTGAAACCCTCCCTGACTTCTCCAAGTGTAATTGGTAGCTTCTAAGCATGGTGTCCATACTCATCATAGCTTCCTACACTGGACCACAATCGTGAGTTCCTGAGGACACTGTCCTCATCTTTGTACCCCTGGGCTTGGCATGAGTACCTGGTTCAGAGTAGACACTGATATGGTGGGTATGTGGCTGGCTGGCTAAATAAATATGCAAAACCCACAGCTGAGGAATCAAAGCTAAGAATCCAAACTGAGGCTGTCTGGGCACCTGGGTGGGCAATCTCAATTTTCAACCTTGGCATCAGGACATCCAATCACAAATTTTTCAGGTCACAAACATTTATTGCCAAAGATCATCGCCGGGGCTGCCGTAGACATGAATGTTGCCCAACCCAACCCCTACCCCCGCCCCCCCCAGCCCTGATAACATGCAGCCAGCCCCCTCGGACTCTACCCAGCTTTGCTAACAAACTCCAGCCTGCTCTTCCAGGGTGGTCTAGCCCCCGGGGCAGCTGCCTGCCTGAGCTGGGCTGACCTGCTTGGACCTTGCCCCTGAGAGTCATAGCACCATGATGTAGGCCCAAGGAAAGAGAAAGAATGGACGGAGCAAGGAACAGGTGCCCCAGAGGAAAGGCTGGGGAAGGCCCGGGCCTCTAGCTGCATGGATGCCAGGCATGCTGATGGTTTATAGGAACAGGGCAACCCGGATCCTCAACATGGCTGCTCCGAGGGCCTGGGGACAGTGTCAGCTTTCTCTCCATGGCAGTGTTCATGGCAGTTCCAGGTTTCTGAAACAACTGAAACATTGAAAGGCAGAGAGGCTGGAAAGAAACTGCAAGGCCTGGGACAGCGCTGGGTACAAGGTGGGGGCCTGCCCACCTCGACTCTCTCAGGCTCTGAGGCCCACAGAGAAGCAGCAGCCATTTCTTCATGTCCTGGTTGTGGCCTTTGGATGCAGCAACAGTGTGGTTCTCTGTGATGGATCTGCTCGCCAGCCCACATATAGACTCTCTTCCCTGAGTTCCCCAAAGGGGCTCCTTCCTCTGGTCCTCTGACGTCAGGAATATTAGCAGAGCTCTGGAATGTCGCAACTCCCATGAGTCCCTTGGAGTTTTGGGGGTGATGGATGCTGGCTCATCAGGCTCCTGGAATTTCTGGAGTATCTTTAAAAATGCATCTACTTCCATTTCTTGAATATAAAAATAAAATAAAAATTTGCTCCAACTGCCTGTGACCAGACAAGAACAGTTGTGAGCCTGGAAAGCCACAGTGCAGCCCACCTGTGCATCAGCAGGAGGTTTAAGAAAGGGCAGGAGACTGGTAATGCCAACGGGAGCATCTTCCTGCTAGGGACAGCCCAGGTACTCCAATACTTGGCTGTCACCTGGGCTGCTGGTGGCTACTCCATCTGGGCTAGTCTCTGAGTCAGGGTCAGAAGAGCAAGAATTCTTGATGGGAACTTCCAGGCCCTTCTCTGGGCCCTGTTTGGGCTTCTCCTCCTTCTATTATGGATGCCCCTGCAGGAACCTCCACAGTGCCCAAACTGTTAATGCCAGGTGCTTTCCAGTCTGGGATTTGGGAAGAACTGACGGCTCTCCTGGTTTCTGAAGACCTTGGGAAAGCAACAAACACATACATGTGTGCATGCATGCACACGAACACACACACACACACACACACACGTGTGCACATTCACAGAGGCAGCAGATGGTGGAGGTGGGAGTAACAAAGGTGCCTGGTGGCCTTTAGACCAGATGACACTGCAGGTGGCCCAGTCACTCCGGTCAGAGTCTTTGCAGCAGCCAGTGCTGTGAGTTGGGACAGGATAGCTGCTTAGGATTTCCGGAAGTGCACCTCCCTCTGAGGAGAGAACAGGGTAAGGCTGGCTCAGGGATACAGGTGTTGAAGGTGGGGGTTCAGGGCCTAAAATTCAGCCCAGCTGCCACGGGCACTGCTCCTCAGAGAGAGGCAGCAGGGAGGAGCCATGGAAGCAGAGAGACCCACTAAGTGGATTTCTGGAGCAGCCACCCGAGCTCTCTGCACTGCCCCCCCTCACTCGGGCAGAGGAGGGAAGGCGAGTGTACGCTCCTGCTTTACAGCTAAGATGGCAGGTCCAGGGAAGGCAGGACCGCCCTGGGTCAGCAGCAGGGGGGATGATCTGCTGTGAGACTAACTTCCTGCGAGGAGGGAGGCCTCCTACACACGTGCGTCCTCTGATGGACTGTGTGAGCTCACACGTTGGCCAGCCCTGTGGAGAGGACGGTGCTCCTGGGCCAGCACCCAACCTGGGCCCACCCCTTCCCAGCCCCTCAGAGGAAGGAAACGGAGGGAAACACAGGCAGCTGGGGCTGGCTCCACATTTGATTCCTGTCCTGTCCCGATCTTCCGCACCTTCTGAAAATCCCCAAACACAAGGGGAGGCCTGGGCCCTCTTCCAGGCACCCCACTTTGGGAGTTCCCGGTCTGCCCCGTGCAGTGCCCCATGCAGGCTCTCACCTCCATCTTGCTGTAAATCCAGGGGAGGACTTCTGTCACTTTGGTGTACACACCGGGTTTGTTTCTCTGGCCACAGCCCGTGCCCCAGCTAGTGACTCCTGCCAGGTACCAGCGGTTGTTCTGCTCGCAGACCAGGGGTCCCCCGCTGTCTCCCTGTGAGGGGAGCACACATCTCAGCAGAGTGGGAGATGTGGTCCTTGAGCAGGATGTGGTGGGCACCTGATTCTCACCCCAAACCCACCACACCAGCCTTCCCCCACTGCCCCTGGCCCCCCGCCCCCAGGACCTGAGCCCCACCCAGATGCAGCCTCACCTGGCAGGAGTCTCTGCCTCCCCGCAGGTCCCCAGCACACATCATCCTTGGGGTAAGGTAACTGTCATAGACCAAGAAGTCATTGCATTTCTTAAAGTCGATGAGGTTGACCTGCACCTCCCGGAGGAAGGGAGAGGTCTTCTCTTCAGTGAAGTTGAGTTGAGGAAAGAGATGATGGGAAACGAGTGAGACCAGATCTGGACAGCTTCTCGACCTTTTAGTTGCTCTCCAGTGACTCAGACTCACTCCTTCCTGGGAGTGGAGGGTACCAGTCCCATGGCTGGCCACCCAGGACATACGGGCACTCACAGCCTCACACCACACACAAGCCCCTACACGTAACACAGACACATACACGTGCAGAGACAAGCTCATCAGCCTATCACGCTGCCTTCATGTTGCACAGTGCTTTCCTGTATTCCAAGCATCATCAAATACATCATTTCGTTCATATCTAGTAACTATGTGCCCTAAAGAGGTATAATTAATCCATTTACAGTTGGAGAAACTCACGGCCGAAGGAGTGACTTGCCCACAGTTGCACAACTAGTCAGTTATGGAGCTGAGACCAGAACAAGGCTGCTCCCAGGCCAGTCACCACTCCATCTTTTTGAGCAAGGGAAAGGTGGCCCTGACCCCCGCAATTGGTTAAAGGCTGACAATGAGGCCAGCCAGGTACTCTGGAGCCAAGTATAAACAATCCTATAGAACCAACATCAGAGATGACCACTCTCTAATAGTGATGAAGGAAGGCAGAAGAAGACCGCTTTGTAATCTTGTTTAAGCATAAATGAAAACAAGGTAGGCTACAAACCACAAAAAAGCTAACCGTCCCTTCTCCCGGCCAATACAAGTGGCTACTGCTTCTTCACTGATTATAGTTTCAGATTCAGTTTATTCTTAACTCCTATTCTTAAATCCTAGGTGGGATTATTAGGATGTCGAATCATTGAATTATCCCTGCTTCCTGAAAGCATCCAATCTAGAGAAATGTTCCACTTCTTTGAACCACCCCCCCGTCCCCAAACCATCCAGGTCCTGTGAGAAGTCCTTTCTAGACTTAAGATTTCCATGGTTCTCCATGGTATATGGTCCCCTCAGTGCAGTGAGCAATGAAACCAACATGTTCAACTACAGGGGGTCTCCAGGTAGTCTTGGCTGGAGGGCATCGTCATACCAACGGCTTTGACATAGACTCAGGTAAATATACAGATTTCTCTCAGGTTAGTTTATAGGCTCTTACTTTGGAGCGCTCTGTGCCAAGCTGTTTAGGGGAGCACAGACACCTGGTGTGGTCTGCATTTAGGGGGACACAGGTACCTGGTATGGTCTGCATGTAGGGGGATGTAGAAACTTGGTGTGGTCTGCATTTAGAGGGTCACAGGAACCTAGTGCTGAGGTCTGAATTTAGGGGCCACAGGCACCTGGTGTGATCTGAATTTAGGGGGCCATAGGCACCTCGTGTGGTCTGCATTGATGGAAGGATCTTAGCCAACCAAGTGGTGCCTACATGGTCTGAATACAGAATGCACAGTGTTGTCAATCCTGGAAATACTCTTCCTCTTTTTGTTAAGATACGTGAGTGAAGTGTTGGTATCTTCACCGGGAGGTGGCACCTGAGGGTTCTGGGGAAATAAACGTATAGGTCCCTATGAACAGATCTGTATATAAACACATTTTGTATACACTTATAGGAGAGCTTTTTTGAACTTCTATAGCTGTATGTAAAAGTACCTAAGATTGGTTAAGCTTGTGTCAACAGTTGGTATTTTTTTCACTTGTACACTTGGGACTTTTTCTTTTGATTGACTAAAGCTGCATATGCTAAAAAACAAAAGCAAAAAAAAGTCTTTTTTTTTTTCCTTTTCTTTTCACTTTTTAAAAAAATTTCAATTTAATGGGGGTCTTTCTCAACAGAAGTGTCAATCCAGAGCGTAAGAAACAACTGAGGCTCTGTGAGGAAGTGGTATGTATGATGCAGATAGCACCAGCCAACAGGTTCTAGATTATTCTAGACTATTCTAGACTTAGTTCTGTCTATCAGAAACTACCAGGGTGACCCTGGGAAAGTAACATAGCCCCAAAGGCCTTCAGTTTCCTCATTTGTAAAATGGGGAGAATGGGTCAAGGGTGGAATTCAGGAAACCAAAAGTTTCTAATAGGTGCTCTGAGATGTGACATAAACTGGTCTGCTGTGTGTAGGGGTGAGGCGAACACACACATCCACACCCAGGCCCATGGAGCTCTCTGCCCAAAAACCTCATCTAGATAGGCCCTCCTCTATATACCCCGACACATCACCCGCACACTCTCCATATAGACACATGTGTACACACACAGAGACACAGCCTAGCATCTCCGCCTCTCACCATCAGTCTCCTTGGTCTTGCCAAAACCTGTGATCCAGCAGGTTTCATTGAGATTGAAGGTCTGTCCATGCATAGGGAGGCAGGCAGGGTGGATGTGAGCTGCAATAAGACCTCAAGGCATCAGAGCAGGGACAAGGCTGGAGGTTTCAGCTGGGGTGGTAGTGTGGAAGGACAGGGGTACCAATGTCCAAGGACCCTCCCTCCTTGCCCCCAGTGTGGTTCTGAATCTTCCAGGGCCTCAAACTGACCAGGCAAGAAACTCAGTCACTTTATCTTGACTCTCAGCATTCAAGTTGCTGCTGGAGTCCCTCAAGCATTCTGATCTCAGTGGGGGCCATGTGGGCAGAAGCATAGGCCTTGGAAGCTCCCCTATGTCAAGCCAATCCCGATGGTCATAAGGGTCTCCCTTCTAAAGAGTGAGCTTCCTCCATGCCCACCCATCAGAGGAAGGAGCAGCAGCAGGCTAAGTCCCAGGCATTATCACCATGGCATCTCTCAGTCATGTGTCCAGCCTGGTTTGGGGACAGCACCTCTGGGCTGGTAATGGCCTGAGACACTCCCTCCAGGTCAGACAAGCTCTCCAAGTGGGAAGAGCACATCCCTAGAGGCACAGAACCACTGCTCACTTGCTGCATTTAGAAGGTACTGTTGTACACCTTGTCACAGCCCCCTCTAGGACTGGGATCTTTAGACAAACTAGGGCACAGACCACCAAACTCCAATTTGCAAGACAAAAATATCACTTGATAGAATGTTTGCAGTGTTCCCAAGTGTTTGTTATGCTCACCGCAGCTTCCTGCACCTAGAATAGTGCCTGACACAAACTACTCAACAAACCTAAGGAAGAAAGGAAGAAGCGACATAGTGGAAGGGAGTGTGGGAGAGGGAATGAACTCTAGATTCCTCTCCTACAAATTGGGCTCAAGTATTGGTGTCTAACATATTTGTCTGCTAGAGAATGAACAAACAAAAAAGAAATAAAGGTATGGCATCAATTATTAGCCAGAAAAATGCAAAACATAATTTCTTAAAATATGCTCATTTTTAAGATGTAGGGTCTTCAAAACATGTGACACAATTATATCCTCCATTCGTTTTTATGGGGAAGTTAAATTCATAGGTGAGTTTTCACAAGTCTTCTCAGATAGTATGGTGACTTGAAAGGGCTCTCCGCCTGCCAGAGGAGTTTAAGAAACTCTGCTCTGATTTCTAAACCAAAATTTAGGGCACGTGGTCTGATCAGAAGACTACATAAATCTAAGCTGTGATTCTCAGACTGGAGGTGTGCTTCCTACGCAGGAGCCTATCAGAGTCTGGAGAGGGACTGCCATTGTCTGAAAAGCATATGCAACGTTATAATAGCTTTACAAATTACTTAATTTGATCTGGAATTCCAAATAACATTAAGGAGAGTTGGAAGTAATAGGAGATCTGGATGGTTAGTCAAATGGAGTCTGGGTTTGACAAGGTTGGAAAGGCCTGTTCTGGTCCTGCAGACTGATGAGCCCCTCTTAGGTGAGCAGAGGGCCACCCCTCACCTTGTAGTCCCAGGGGCTCCATAGAACAGACTGAGAGGCCCAGCAGAGGAGGAGTGGTTGGGGGGGATGCTGGCCCGCAGGTGGGCGGGGCTCTAGTGCCCTTTCCCCCTCCTCGTCACCCCACTCTGATGACCTAGTGTCTGACTCATAACGGACACCGCCTCTGTAATTAATGTGCCAGGAAAGATCAGTTCACAGGCTCAGAGCACGAGAAAGGCTGGACTAACCAGAGATCCCTCCAAGGCTTCCAGGAAACCCGGTCCACCTTACCCATCATTTTTCAGAGAAGCCCCATTTATGCCTCCTGGGCTCCCTCAGCTGTTCCCACCATCGTGTCATTGGTCTCTACTGTGTGCGTGTTACCCATTTTGTTCTCTTTGCCATTGCAAGTGCACAGTGCGCTGCATAGCAGCAGACACACAGTAAGTATCCGATGAGGACACACAGGAGTGAGTGAATTAATGGACGAAACCTTCTTTAATCTCCTCCTGACAAGTCCTCTAGCATCTCTATCCTGTGGCCAACCTCATGCCAATTCACTGTCTGTACCTGTGCTCGTTTTGTGTGCCCAACTGCAGTGATAGCAATTTGCCAACAGAGAGCCCAGTGTGAAGAGCATTGCTCAGGAAGCAGACAGACCAGGATCCCATCCCGGAGCTGCCACTTATTACTTCGTGGCCTTGGGAAATTTTCTCTCCCTAAAGCTCCATCTCCTCAAATATAAAAAGAAGCTAATAATAGTACCTGCTCCACAGGATTGCCTGTGAAGAGTAAGTGATATCGCAGATGTAAAATGCCTACCGCAGTGCCCAGCCCCTGTTAAGTGCTCAATAAATGAGTGAAACAATTCAGTGTATATATATTGGTGAAGACCGGTATCCAAGACATCTCTGTCACCAACTTGCAATGTAAGATGTGTCATTTGGGACAACCTTATTTCCAGCCTTTGGGCCTCAGTGTCTCCCATGGTAAAGTAGAGATGTTCCATTAAATGATCCCCAAGAGCCTCTCACTTCCACCATGCTGAGGCTCTGGGATCCCTGGATGCTGCAAGGCTGGGCCCCAGGGGCTGCCTGGAGGAGCTGGGGCGGCTGTGACTCACCAGATAGGGTCAGGGGCTTGGAGAGCCGCATGAGGGCGATGTCATAGTCGTCCTCCTCATCCGTGTAGTTCCCGTTGATGATGATCTGGGAGATGGAGGCTGCCTCAGGCAGCTGGAGGAGGTTGCTGGTGCCCGCGTAGACCTTCCAGCCCTCCAGGATCTTCTCCCGGGTCCTGCAAGAGCCACAAGGGAGCATGGTCTGGCTTCTTGTCTGGCGGAGGCCCCCTGGCAGCATCTGCCACGTAAGAGAAGTTGCAGCTGCAACACCAGCTCACAGGCAAGGGGATGGATGAAAGGACCTCTGAAAGGAGCCTTCCATCTTAGCCCAGGGCTCCAGAACAATCCCCTGCCTCCAAAATCCTGTCTGGAATTGGCCACCCAGCAGCTCACAAAAATAAAGAGGAGGGATGGGCGCGATCTCTATGCATCGACCCCATTGTCTCCTCTGCACGCCACCAACCTTCCTGTGAGGTGGACAGGACACTTCTCAGCAGTATTATCCTCAGTAGAAATGGAGCTTTAGACAGAACAAAAGGGACCTGCCAAAGACTCACTCACTGCTGGGGAAGCCAATGCCCCTGAGGCCTTGTCCTTAGAGCCCTTTCCTGCCCACCAGCCCAAAGGGACAAGCCTGGCTGGTGACAGTTAGAAGCTGACTGCACCACACTGCCTGCGATCCCCATCCCTCCTTTCCAGGGACAGCATTCCTGAGTCCTCGGGCTCCTCTCCTGGAAGCTCCAGTTGGAGGAAGTGGCAACAAACCCAAAGCCTCTTTATTTCACCCCGTTCTTCAGGGATAGGCTCATGAGCCTGTCTCACCCTCCTCCAGGCCATCAAGGTTAATTTTCTCATTCTGGGCCTCGCTCAGAGCGAGTAACCCCAATGCATAGTCCCAGGACCAAATGGCGACTGCAGATCATGGCCCCGGCCACAGCAGCACCGCCTGGCCCTGGGGGCCCCGGCTCCCGACCCAAGCCCTCCTCCGCAGAGAGACAAGTCAGTCTGCCAGGAGCCCTGCCCGGTGCTCCCAACCCTGGGGGCACAGAGGCACCCACCCCTTGGGCACTTACACAAAGAAGCAGTGGGCAGCGGTGAGCACCCACTGGGCGTCGATCAGCGTGCCCCCGCAAATGTGCGTGGTGCCATAGTGCAGACTGACTTGCCAAGGCCACTTGCTCTCTGGGGCCAGCGCCCCTCCCACGATCCGCCCGGTCAGGGCCCTCAGCCCACAGTCTGGGGAGAAGCAGAAGAGATGAACCGTGACCTCTGCTGCTCTCAGAGCCACCCCGTGCTCCCTGGGCCCGGGCCAGGCTTAGGCAGCCCCCTGCTGAGGGCACCCCTCGGCCCACGGACACAGCTTTGCTCACTGAATCTGATGTGGCCTGGCTGTTTCCTGCCAGGACAGAGCTCCCACCGGGTGGGTCAGATTTCTGGGATCGCCTGGTGGGAAGTTCCATCCTAGGCAGCTTCCTCATCCCCCCCTACTCAGTCATTCTTTCCTTAACTTGACCAGCGCTCTCTCAGTGCCTGAAGCTTGGGGCACTGTGCCAAGCACCAAGGTCTCCATTGGGAGCTTGGGGAAGCAGACCAAGTCTGACGTGACCCTGAATTGATGAGCCCTGTCGCAGCATTTCAGAACAAAGGAGAAATCAACTTTCCATGATGTACAGGTGGGTCTATGCCCATATGGATCCCCAAAGGGTCATTTAGTGCTACTGAGGACCCTGCACGTACCCCCAAGGAAACATTTCCAAGCATGTTCTGGAGTCATCCCCCCAAAATTGTGGACAAGGCAGTCCTTGGAGTTTGTTCAGACATGTGCCCTTTTTTCTTCGAAGGGGGAGAATGGTCTGAGGGGTGGACACTCTGTCCACAGCAACCCTGTCCATAGCCCTGTGCCCACCTGCTCTGGGGAGCACCCCCCCGCCCTTTATCAGAGAACACAGCACTTGTAGGCTGGTTAACAGCTTGGGCTTTGGGGTCAGGCCCGAGGTCAGATACCAGCTCCTCACTTACCAGCAGTCTGACCATAGGTAAGACAAACATTTTGGTCTCTTATCAGTAAGTGGGCAGTGATGGCACCTGCCTCACGAGAACCAGAAGCAATTGTTTATCAAGAGTCAGTAAGAGTAGAATATACTCAGTAAATGTTGGCCCTAGATCCAGTTCCACATCTATTGATCTGAGAGCTTTCCACTGATCCAGACTAGCTCCCCCAGTCCTCCCCACCACCCAGCATCCAAGAGATTTGAATGGCTGCCCCCCTATGAACAAGGTTGCTGGGCTGAGTGGAGTCAGGAGAAGGGGAAGTGCTACCCTGACACTGTCCTAGTGCCTTAGAGGGAACCCAGCCCCTAAGCAGGCCTGCTGGTTAAGACCATCTTCCTGGCTGAGACACCCATGGCTGGTCATCTCCCCCACAGAGGCCCCACCCCTCTGCTCCCTGACTCCCACCCCACACAGGCCACAGTCCAGGAGGAAGAGCATCTTCTTACGGGAACACTGGAGAGAGACATACCGCTGGGAAGGGCATTCAGACCTGCACGAAGGGACACGGAAAATGGGGAAAGGGCACATTAGAAATCTCCTCCAGGAAGCCTTCCCTGATTGACTCCTTCTAAGTTCCTATCCCATTTCCTTTGCTTGAGATTAAAGATTCTGATCTCCCTCCAAGAGAGACAGACCCTTCTGGTGCTTTCTTCAGGAATGGGGATGGCTCAGTGCAAACCATCCCCACTCTTGTCCCCACCTCCACCCCCACTTTTCTTATGGTAGATTGCACACATTGGGTAGATAGATCCACGTCCTCTATACCCATGACTTCATTGTCCCAGCACCTTTCCACAGCTGAGCAGGTAGCCTGACCCTCCTCTGCCAGTTCCTCAGTGCTCCACCGGCAATGCAGCATGCAAAACAGCTAGCATGAAGCAAGCAGCTGGGCTGCAGCTAATTCCCTTCTCCTCCCTCCCCTCTCCATCCCTTTTTCTCTGGGAGCCTGGCTCGGTCTTTCCCTCCCCAAGGTAAACACTGCTAGCTGGTGGAGCCCCCCTCCACCCTCCCCTCAGTGGGCTGGGGACAAGGGCAGGGCCATAGTGCACAGATGACAGATGGCGGCAAGGCCCAGGAGGGGGCCGGTGCCTCTCAGCCACGCCTCCCTGTCCCTGACCACATGCACCTGGCCCTCCTCCTGTGGCTGCTCCCCCTCCCACTAACCCTAATGATGTTTTCCCTCCTCGCTCCAAGCCCACTCCCTACAGTAGCTTCCAATCCAAACACCTGGCGGGCTGGCAGCCCCAAGGTTTATTCATTCTCTCTGGCACCCAGATAAATGCTTGGGCCACCCTGGACCTTGAGGCTGTCTCTGCTCCAAGCTTCGGTAAGAACTTTCAAGTCAGGAGACAGATGGCAAATGAGGACTGTTTTTGGAATGCTCAGGACACGCACAATGGACCCCAGGAGGCTGGGTCCCCAAAAAGCCAAAGGGGCAAGACTCCCTGACTCAAAGCCCTCCTCCATTTCCCTGCCCACAGGCCCACAGCCTGGCCCATACCGCCACACCTGTAGAGGCTTTCCTGGAGGGTAGAGTTGTATTTGGAGATGGAGAAGCTGTGGGCAAGATCCCTATGGGCCACCTCGGTTGTCCGGTAAGCACTGTAAGAGAGGGGAGCAAAAGAAGAATGAGCCCAGAGACAAACTGTCCGGTGCCCCAGAGGCATCATAGTCCTGCTGGCAGCGACCAGAGGTGGTTAAGGCCCAATACACTCAGTCCCCACCCACGGTTCCCACGAGCCCTGTGCACTCACCTGATAGCGGAATTAGCACCCCCTGGGAACTTGTTAGAAATGCAAATTCTTGGGTCCTTGTAACCCTAGACCCACTGAATCAGAAACTCTGGTTCTATATTTTAGCTGGTTCTCCTCCGGGTAATTCTGATACATGTGAAAGTTCGAGAAACACTAACCTGGCCCTTTTCTAGCCAAACTGTGATCCATGGGCCAGCAGCAGCAGGACCCCAAACCTGCTGAGCTAGACTCTGCATTTTAAAGATCCCCAAGTTATGGCTTTGCACGTTAAAGTCTGAGCACCTTGCACTTGCCTCCTGGATCTCAGACCACAGTGCACATAAGAATCGCCTTGGGGCATTTGTTAAGCAGGTTTTAAATCCTAATCCAGAGATTCTGATTTTGGGGGTGCATTTTAACAATTCTGATGGGGGTGATCCATGGGCCACTATCAGTGTGGCACTTCTGTGCATTTCTAGAACACGGTGTGCCTTTGCATGAGAGTGTGCCTTTTGCGTGGGCTGTTCCTCTCCCTAGGGGCTCCTCCGTTCCCTGCCCTCCCCCAGGTGCAGTCAGGTGCCCTCTCCGTTGCGTGCCTACAGCGCTTCTCCCAGATCCTTATCCTCACACATAGCACCGTGCTGTGGTTATCGGGTTAAGCCTCTCTCCCGCAACACCTTGTTGGAGGTTCTCCAGGGGCAGGGATCTTGTCAGGGTGCCACATGGTCTCTGGCCCATATCAAATCTCAATTGTGTTCTTTGAACAAATGACACTATCTACTGAAGCTCAAGGGAGGCTCCGATTTGCATAAGGTCGCACGACTCAGTGATAAAAGATATTCTGACTTCTTCCAGCCAGATCCCCCAGATTCCCCTCTCCCAGGTCGGAACTCTGCAGCAGAGGTGAGAGCGGAGGGCAGCGTCTAAGTCCTAGCCTCTGAGCCCTGGTCTTCAGGTGCTTCTTCTGCAGAGAGTCCGCACTGACAGCCTAAACCCTCCTCGCCACAACCTCACACACATTGGTGAACCCCAAAACTCAGACCAAGAGGAAAGATGGACTTGGCAATGTGGCCTGGAAACAAGGGGAGCACGGGGGACTGTTTCAAAGGGGAAGACTGTCATAACCCTGCTCCCTGCTCCTCCCACCAGCATCTGCTTTGGTGTAAAATCTTTAGAGCCAAAGATTTTAAGACTTTAGCTGGCCTCACCTGCCCCTCTCCTTCCCTCTTTGATGAGGTCCAGCTCAAGCCACAGCTGCTGTAGCTCAGAGCCTGAGCCTCTAGTTCCCAGCTGTGAGGAGGACAAGACAAGGCCTGCCCGAAGCCCTACCTGCCCCCCAACAGGGCCACCATGATCATTAAATGTGATCACGGACACAAGGCTGCTTTGATGCAGAGATCATGCAGGACTGTGCTCCTACTGCATGTCTACAAATCATGACTTTGGCCTCATGAGGAACACTTGCTCCCAGACTTTGGCTCCTAGGGCCACTGTCCCTTTGAATAACTCAAGAGTGTCCTGAGCTAGGGCCGTCCACCCTGGTCCTCAAGAGTCCTTCTAACAGGAGTTTCCCATGATGAGCCTGAGACGCCCTTGCAAAGAGCACAAAACATCCCTGAAGCTGGGACCCCCGGCGCGGGGAGGGGAGAAGGTTTACCTCACGAAACCCAGCTGCTGGCAGGTCTTCTCCGAGTAGGAATCATTCCAGCTGTCACTGCAAATGGGAAGCCACTGGTGGGAGGACCCAGAGTAGACTTGAAGCAGAGACTTGTCCCAGTCAAACCTCACTGCCAGACAAGAGAAGGGCAGAGCAGGTGCTCAGCAACCGGTTCTTGAGCAATGTACCGAGTAAGGCTCTGAGATGCTCCTGTCCTGAGTCTCAATGCAGGTCTTTGCAGTAAAATCGCTGAGGCCTGGGGAATGTCAGGGAGCCAGATCCAGGAGGTAATGATCACCAGCCAGGGCTCAGAAGCCCCGGATGCTAAGGAAAGGCAGAGCCAAGGCAGGGGCGGGGGGCCAGGCAGAGAGCTCTCTATGCAACAGACCCCAAGGGACTGTTGCTGGGAAAAGGGGTGAGCACTGCCAGGAGCCATCACCCCAAGGGGGCAGTGACATGCCCAAACAAGAGAGTGAGGAGGGGAATACAGGCTATGATCGGACCACGTGTTCAGTCACAGAGAGTTGTGGTCATGGGCAATGACACACAGGTGAAAGGCCCCCAGAGACACCGACATGATGCTAGACACAGACAAGGCACCAAAAAACCACTGAAGATCAGAGCTCAAAGAGATCTTTGGGCTCACCTAGGCCAGCCCTTGACAAACTGACCTTTATGAAACCATAGGGGTACCAGGTCAGATGTCACCTGCTGGGCAAAGACGAGGGACATGTGGACCGGGCCCTGGACCCCACACCTGCCTCCAGCCAGAGAAGCTGTATTTTATCTGATACTCAGGAGCGGTCAGATTCTGAGAACCACTAATCTTGTTCAGTTCACTCATTTCACAAATTTGGAAAATGAAGCCCAGAGAAGGTAAGTGACTTGCCCGAGTCACACAGCACTCAAAGCCAGTTTCAGACCCAAGTCTACTATGACTAGAACCTGGGTCCTCCGACTCTCTGTCCATTGGCTCCCATGTGAGCTGATACACATTTTGCAGTCACCAGAGTACACACACACACACAAAGACACACACCCTCAAGCACACATGCACCCATGCCCCGTGTCCTTACCACAGCCCAGCTCATCACTCCTCAGCTTACAGTCCACGACCCCATCACAGCGCACAGCATGGGTGGGGCAGCTCTCCACCGGCTCCTTGTACTTGATCCCCGTGTGGCCTCGCCAGAAGTAGACTGGAAAACAGTGAAGCAGACAGCTGGGTCACCGCCAGCCCCGGGAGATAAGACACTAAGCAGCCCAAGGCCCTGGGGGTTCGGAGACACCGACCTGCAATCCCTCTCGGACTCTGGGGCTCTCTTCCCCCATCTGTATGGAGAGAAAGGCTGCTCAGGAATGCTCCAGAATGCTCTGGAAAGCTCCTGCAAGCAGGGCAGCACCAGGCAGACTCGAGCAGCCCCCCAGAGAGAGAGAGGTGGGGAGAGAGGGAGGGAGGTGCAGAGGTGGGCACTGGAAGCTCCAGTGCCCTACATTGGCCAGAGTGGCAACCAGAGAAAGCCCTCCTCCAGAATCCCAGAGCCGGCCTCTCAGAGCCCCCCTGACATCCCGTCATCCCTGTGCTCTGTGGGTCACAGCAGAGAAATTTCTGTCTCCACAGTCCATACACACAAGCACTACCCATGCTGTCTTCTCAAAGGCTGGTCTTTCGGCCCCAGAAGCTCCTGGATCTTCATCCTCCCTCTCCCCTAAACAAGCAATGTCCTCTTTGCTCAGCTCTCGCCCCATTGTTTGTCTTTATGCCTTAAAATGTCCTCTCAAAGAGCAAATTGAGGTGGCTGATTCCCAAGCCCCCAGGCTTTACAAACTATGCGTGAAAGTCAGCCTCGTGACCCCCTCTGTCTGGAACAGTAACCTCTTCTCAAGCTAGGATCCCTTCCCTCCTGCCTGAAGACACCTTGCCTTGGGTGCCCAAGAAACCTGAGTTCTAACTCCTTGCACTGCCCCTCATCCTCAGCCTGACCCCCGCTGGCCCTACCATGCGCTCGGGCACCCATGGTGAAGGTCACCCTGTGTGTCTGCCCCTTGCAGACCCGGACACCAATGCCACCTAATGTTTTGCACTTGTCCCTCCTGGAATGCCCGCAGAGCCACCATGCAAGGGTCACCTTGACAGTCAGTGGATGCCAGGACGCGTTGTGAAACCACACTATGATTATAACTATATCCGGGGGGCCACCCTTGGATGCCATCTGATCCCTCCATGGGTTGGTCATTCCTACTGCTCCGAGGACTGCCAGGGGTGGGAGGGGCAGGAAAAGCAGAGCAGCGCATCCTGGCTGGAGGTTCACATGGACACCATGTGGCAGGCACTGTGCTGAGGCCTTTATGTGCATTGTGACAATGATGCTAGCACCTTGTCAGGCAGGTGGTGGGACCCCGAGGCTTGGAAAGTTAATTAATTTGCTGCAGTCACACAGCTGGCAAGTGGCAGAGCCAGGATGCTATGGGGAAGCCGTGCCGTGCCCTTAACCAGCTCGCTACCTCCTCCTGCGTCATGCTCGTCCTGGAGGAGCCCTGCCAGTCCTGGTTTCCGTACACTCACGCACCTGGCTCCTCCCCACACTGTGCTGCCTCTTGAACAGAAGCCTTCCCCGCTAGCCTGGCCTTTGAAGCTCTCTACCTTGCAGCTCAGCCTTACCCAACCAGGCAGACAGACCCCAGGTCCCCAAATACTCTTTTCCTCTATGGCTAAGCAGGTCCCTTCCTCCTCCCCGTGCTGACCTTGCCACGGCCCCCTACATTTCCCGCAGCTGCATATCCCACTCAGATGCTCTCCCATCTTCCGGGCCATCACCTGACCCTTCACGAGCTGGTCTCTGCCACCCTGGCCCACATAGCTGTCACCTCTTCCCGACAGTCACATTTGGCCTCCCCTCTGCAGAGAGCCCTGGGCCATGTCCTATCTTTTCCAAAGTGTGTGTGTGTTTGGGTGGAGGGTGGGGAGGGGGGTGAGGAAGCCTAAACCCTGGAACCCTTTATCCCATTGTCTGGAAATACCCCAGAGACTTTCTATAATCAGTGCTCATATATTTTTTTAATAATTAGCATTTATAGATTTTGTGCCAGGCACTGTGCCATTATGTCATTTACGGTTCGTAACCCAGTGAAGTCTTTATGAGAGCTGACTGGGAATGTGCATAGTAAGTCAAATGCATTGAATGAAAGAAATCCCACTCGAGGATGCAGAAACTGAGCCCAGAGTGTCTAACTCTCCCAAGCAAGATGGGCAGGAAGTAGCACCAGTGCAGCCTGAGCCCGGTTCCACCAACCTAGCTGCTCAAAGGGCCTGGAGACAGTGGTCCACGGCCTTTCGCAAGTCTGTCTGTGGGGCACAGTAGCCAGGCGAGTGTGTGTTCCCCACCCCTGGCTCCCTGCTGCGTGCCCCCATCTGGGGACCCCAACCCACCCCTCCATGACCAGAACCTTCCCCTGGTCCCTCCCTTGAACTCACGGAGAATGATGAGTGACACCACGAGGGCGATGAGGAGGAGGACACATCCAATGAGCGGCAGCCGCTTCTGGCCCTCCTGCCAGGTGAACTTGGGCAAGCCGATACCTAGGAGCGGGCCGCAGCAGGGGGTGGTAAGGCCATGGGAGAGGGGTGCAGAGGAGAAGGGGGAGGGAGGTGCAGAGGAGGAGGGGGAGGGAGGCAGGCTGGCCTGGGAGGGCCCGTTAGGACCGCTCCACTCCAGGATATGGCACCACCCCGACCCCCGACAGCTCCCTTAGCTGAGCATCTCCAACGGGCCAGCCGGGCACTTGCGAGTGTCCTCCTGTGGAATTCTCACAGCAACCGTGTGAGCTGGGCGCTGTCACACTCATTTTATAGGTGGGGAGACTGAGGTTCACGAAAGTTAAAGAACTTGCTCGAGGGTGCTGGACTAGTGAACGGCAGGGCGGGATGTCCCATGAAGTGTGCCTCATGCCAGAGGCCACCACACCAGAGTGCCTCACCAGCCCTTGCGAGGGCAGGACGGTGAGAGGGGCCCCAAATACGGGATCCTCCGCCTGGCCAGTTTGTATGGTGATGGTGGGGACAGTCTGAAGTCTACGACAGACGGAGGGCAGCGCTGAGACGGGCAGAAACCCTGTTTCTTCAGGGGCAGAGCCAGCCCCAAGGCCCATCCGGCAGCTCTGGCTTCCAGCAGCTGACCCAGGTAGGCCAGGTTGGAAAGACGGAGGTGGAGAGTGTCTGCCTGGTCAGAATTTCCTCCTTCCCTCCTCTCCCCACAGATGGGCCCAGGATCAGGACCCTGCTCCAGGGCAGACCCCTGCCTCCCAGCACATCCACGGGGCAGCCTAAGGGAAGGACTCCAGTCTCCCGCCAGAGTCCTTGCTCTTGAAATCCGTGCTCTAACTCACACTGCGCAGCCTCCCAAGTCACAGCTGCTTTGTTGGTCCTGGTTTCTTCTCCCCTACCCCATTGGCCCCAATTTTCCACTGTGTTGGGCCTGCATGTAATGGTTCCTTTCTGCCCCCCACCTCCCCAGGCCCCCCCACTGCCCACCCCTGACTACTCCCCCTGCTTCCCACACATCACTAGCCAAGGGGTAGAGGAAGAGCAGGGAGTGCCAACTCTGAGATTTCCTCCCCACCCGTCACCTGCTTCCCCGTTCCTCTAGCCTCCCCTGCAGTGTCCCCCCTTACCTGTGCTCTCCTCCGTGGCTCTGGTGGCTGGCGCTGACCTGGCAGGAGATGCCCGGATGGGCACGGCCCCCACTGGTGTTGCTCTAACAAGGTACACTCTCGTTGGAGAGGATGTCGTGGAGGCTGACCTGGCAGACGATGACCTGGAAGGGGAGGCCCGGGCTGGAGATGCCCGGGCTGGGGACGCCCCGGCTGGAGACGTCCTTGCTGGAGATGTCCTGGCTGGGGAAGCATTCTGAAAGCAGAGTGAAGGGTATCCCTTAGGCTGCTCCCCTGAGGACCCACCCAGCTATCAGCCCAGCTGAGCCAGGAGATACATGCTCTGGGGCAAGCAGCTAGGTGGGGAGCAACCCCCCCGCCCCATCACCACTGCCATCACCTCCTCACCCTGGCAGGGAAGCAGTTGAGAAGAGAGTGTCCCGGGATGGAGTGCAAGTTCAAAGAGCCTGCACTTGCCAGCTCCCTACAGTCTCCCTGCATCACAGGGACCTGCGGAGGTGGGCAGAGAGCAGTGGGCCATCTGCCTGGGGCTTGGGGACCCTTGCTTTGGCTACATGTGTCTAGGGACCCTACTTCTGAGGGTTGCTCAAGATGTAAAAGCTGGTGTGGCAGGACCAAGGTCTCCCTCTGATCAGCCACTGGACCCCTCCTCATCTCAAGAAGAAGGAAGGTGAAAACAGGCTCTCCTGGGAAACCCGGAGGGACCAGTCCTAGTCCCAGTCCCAGTCCCAGCTCTCCCTAGACATACAACTTTGAGGAAGCCACATAAAGAACAAAGGTCATTTCAGAGAAAACACTTTAACACTACTGCCCAGGTGTGTAAGGATTTTTAGTGAGAAAGCTCATGGAACTTAGATCTCCATTGGGCCATTGGGACTTGGCTTCCAGGTCCCAGACAAAGAACTCTTTTTCTAGAATCTGTTTGGAAAATAAAAAATTGCTCAAGGAGGTGGGGAGAGTAATCACCCTTTCCGCCCTCTCCACTTCCACACCCCCCACACCCCTGCCCTTTCCTCGTGTGTGCGCCAGATTTGTAAAACCCCATTCTTACTATGAGCTGTCATCAAAAAGCGTGGAAAGCATTGCTTAAGAAAAGCCCTGGCCTGCCTTGTACCCCACCATTCTCAGCAATTCCAGACTTGTCTTGCTCACTCGGACACCTGTATGCACAGCACACACACTCACACACACATGTGCTCGCTCACCAATGCATCAGGGAGAGCAGAGAGGCAAAATCGGAAGAAGGTATAGGCTGGGGTAGCAGTTCCACACCACTCTTCGACAAGATCCTTAGCCCGACTCAGCTCCAGGGGGAGTGGTTTGTTCATTCAGATTTAACACTCTAATGGCTGGTTATAGGAGACTTTGCATGCTCCAAGGGCTTTGTATGTGTTTACTCACTTAATCCTCAGAACAGAACCACTCCCATTTTGCAGAGAGACTAAGCGATGGGATCAAGCTGTCATAGCCGGGGAGTGCTTCTGTGAGCTGGAGAGCCGGAGTGTGAGTCCAGAAAGCCAGGCTTGGAGGCCAGCTCAACCTTGAGGCATTGCTGCCTCTCTGAGGAGCGACGCCTTATGTAATCCAGCAGCCAGCTGGCCTGAGTCGGCAATCAGGGAACACTGGTCCTGTTTCTCCTTGGAAAGTGGAGCCTTTGGGGTGCTCTAAATCTAAGAGGGAGCAGTCCAGGGAATGAACAGGAGTGGCAGGGATGGTGAGGGCAGCGCACCTGTGCTGGGGGCACAGTCAGCAGGGCTGTGCAGAGGGGGCAGGCTCTGGACCCCTGGCACCTGTTTCCATCCCTCATCTGCCACCGTGCTTAACACTGGACACGATTAGGAAGCAAACCAGTTCAGGAAAAGCCCTCGTCGTTAGAACACCAGCCCAAGTCAACACCATCATCCCTATCAGGCAGGGGTTTGGATTTAACTTTTTATTTTTATTTTATTTATTTATTCATGAGAGACACAGAGAGAGAGGCAGAGACACAGGCAGAGGGAGAAGCAGGCTCCCTGTGGGGGGGCCCGGTGCGGGACTCAATTCCAGGACCCCGGGATCATGAACTGAGCCAAAGGCAGACGCTTAACTGCTGAGCCACCCAGGTGCCCCTGGTTTTACTATTTTTAACTCTCTTTTCTAAGAGTCGGAAGGAACTGGTTTGGTCACTGCCTCATTGTTCTGGAGGTCGCAAAATGAATTCAAGGAGGAATCTCGAGTCTCTGGCGACACTCAGCTTACTACGGGCAGGGACCAGGACCCATTACTCCAGGGAGTTACTGGGGTTAATTAATGGATATGGGTAAGAGATCCAGGTGCTTGGGTCAGCCAAGCAGGGACACAGTTGTGTGTGTTTAGGGATCTGACGGGCATGCAGCTGACCCAGCTGGCCCAGAGCTCAGATTCCCCTCTCACCCCCCCTATCTAGAGACTAGATCTCCAGAAGGGGAAAACAGATGAGCCCCCAGATGCTTCAAGGGGAGCAGGACTGGGGTTGGGGGGCAAGGAGAGGCAGAGAGGAAATGCTGAAATATAGCATGCATCAGCTGACAGCACTGGCTTTGGAGTCAGGCAGATCCAGGGCACCATCGTACCTCCAGGTGTGTCACCTCGGGCAGGACACTTATCCTTCCTTTTTCTTTTTCTTAATTTGTAGAATAGGACTAATGATCTTGAGGATTCAAGGAGGTAACAGAAAATGTCTCGCCTGGGTCTGGCACACAGCAGCCAGGCGGGAAATGAGAATCTCCCTCCGCTTTTGCACTGGCCCACACAACACCCACCTTGCCGAGATTTAACAGCCCTGGGCCTTACCAATGGGCCGAAAGGTGGGAGCTCATCTTAGGGAAAAAAGAGGGTGCTAGACAAAGGCCAGACTAAAGTCCTTCAATGAGAGAGACAAACCCAGGCTGTGTAGAGCCTGTGCTGGCCACCAATGGTGGCCCGAGCCTTGGCACCTGCCTGGGACCCTGGCATCAGGCATGTCAACTGGCCTGCCAGCCTTCCCTCCCTGCTATGCTCACACTACAGGCCTTTCCCACCCTTGGGGGCAAATTCCCATTACAGGATGCAAGAAAATGATAATAGCTCACCATATATGGTACTTTAGAATGACAATAAATTTCCATGTCTGTGGTCTCACAAGGTCCTCACTCCAACCCTGAATATTTTTAGAAGCCCCGTTTACAGATGACAAAACCAAGGTGCAAGGCTCAGATTGCTTAGAATCACAGTCAGGATTCTTCCCCAAGCCTGTGTGTGTGGGTCCCCTGCCTTCTCAAGTCAGCAGCAAGAGCCCCCGACACAGTCTTCTCCTGGCACCCGTACACAGGGTGCTCCCTCTGCATTTGTCACATCACCTGAGAACTGGGGCCTGGGGCCTTGCAGGCTGGGAGTGCCATGGGGAACCCGGCAATGAGGCCAGTGGTTCTACAGCGATCTCACTCTTGTGGAACTTTCTGGTGGGTCCCATGGCCTGCCAAGACTTGATGGAGCCGGGGGACGGGAGAGGCCCCATGCCAGGTAACAAGCACGGTCTACACCAGCGGGTGACTCTGGGCCTGTGGCTCCACCTCTTCACACTCCCAGTTTCCTCATCTGTAAGGTGAGCCAGTCACCTGCTTCATAGCACTGGAGCGATAGGTGCTGTGTGTACAGTAAGGACTCGGTGCCCATTAGCTGTGACAGTGGCCGGTCATCTGTCTGTTAAAGATGCTGGACTTGAAGTAGAGAAATCTGTGTTCAAATATGACTGCGTACATTCTTGAACGGTCTGCCCTGGGCAAGGAAAGGGAACACGTCTGTCTCAATGTGCGTGAGATGGGGATGACCTTGCCTCCTTCCCCCAGATAACTGCAGAATAAACATGGAGCCTGGTCCGCAAATGTGTTTCACATCATATCAAAGGCCAAAGCCCGCTAGGGACTTAGCTTGACCCCATTTTGACCTCATCACAGCTCTCTATGGGAGGTATTATTAACCCCATTTTATGGATTTTGAAACTGAGGTCCCAGGAGGTTAAGAACATACCCAAACCCACCTCTCCGGTAAGTGACAGGGCTCGAATCCTGCCCAGGCAGGATCTGGACCCACAGTATCACGAGTGTCACCAGTAACTTCCTTCGCTTCCTTGAGGCTGACAGCGCGTGAAGAGCTTCCACACCCATTATTTCCTGGGATCCTCATGGGGTCTTGCTAGCAAACTGGGCAGGAACTATGGCCCCTGGTTTATTCTTGAGGAAACTGGGATAGGGGACTGGACAGCATGCCCAGAGCCCCTAAACAAGTTGGTGGTCTTGTGGGGACTTCCCACAACCTTCTGATTTCACATTCAAGATCTCAGGCTGTCCCCACTGGAGTAGGACCCCAGGGCCCTGGTCCTGGTGCCACTTCACCAGGGCAGGAAAAAGGGACCTGGGATGGGCTGGTGGAGGCCCAGTGGGAGGAGGTGGGAAGGCTGGGGGAGGTTGAGCAGTGGGAGGCAGTTAGACCAGAGATGTAGGGTGGGGGCTTGGTGGAAAGCTCAGGGCAGCCAGAAAGGCAGAGGGGTCTCCCAGCCTTCCTTGGCCAAGCCTTTCCCCAGTGCTTATCCCACCGCATGAAGGTCTCAACATGCCTACCCATGGCCTCGGCCCCCAGGAGGCAGGGAGAAGAGTCCCTGGGGAGGTGAGCTGGGGTCTGGGCAGGAGACTCCCATGGGTCCCTCTACCCGGAGTCTGGAGAGAACTAGGGCATGTAAAATGGGACTGATCTTGGGCTCAGTACCCAAGGGGCTGGGAGGGGGTGAGTCGTCCTCAGCCAGTCTCTAAAGCTGCCACCTTAGCCTCAGCAGCCTGTGGAAAGCCCTCCCAGGGCTGGGGGGCAGGGGCATGGAGGAGAGGCTGGGCCTTGGGGGTAGACAGGGCCCCAGAGGCCTCAGTAGAGCAAGCACTCTGGTGTCAGAGCCGGTGGGAGGCACATGCAGAGGTTTGGGCCCCAAAGACAAGGCCAAGAGAAGAGGCCTGACCCCAAGTTCCCCATGAGAGCTGCCATGTGGGAAACCCTGAATCCCAGCAGGATGGACGGGCAGCCCCAAGACCAGAGGAAGGCAGCCTCCATGGTGAGGCCGTCTGCTCCATCCCCCTGACTCTGAACCTCAACCTGAAGCATCGCAGGACGCTGAGAAGAGCTCCCATTTTCCGGGACCACTAGAATAGGTTCCACAGCCATTCTTTACCCATTTCATGGCCTGCCACCCCA